TTTTTTTTTTTTTTTTTTTTTTTTTTTTTTTTTTTTTTTTTGAGTACTGCCTTGGCTACATAGTGAATTCAGGGCTATCTTGGGGCTGTATTGTGAGACATTATCTCAAAATTAAAACCAACCCAACACAGGACAGCTATATGTTCAGTGGAAGAGCAGTTTCCTAGCATGTAGAAGAGATTCTTGGACCTGTCTTGCTGCCTTCAGATTGTTCAGAGTGCTTCAAGGTTGCAATTTCATGAGTCATCAACTATATTGGAGTGGACTTTTTGATGACACTTGAGTTACATTTGAGTCATCTCTGCCCCTGTAAGGAACCCCTCACACATATATTTGTAAGTAACCTTAACACAAAAAGATTCACTGGTTCACTAAAATAAATGAATAAAAGGTTCAATATGTTTTTAAATAATTAAAGACAATTCAGCATTCCTCCCCCACTTCCGTATGTAGCTTAGGCTGGCTTGGAGCTCTTCTGCCTCCACCCCCTAAATGCTAGATTTATGTTAGCTTGCCTGACCACCAGCCTTTTCAAGAGTAGATTCGTTGTCTCTCAGTCTGTCTCTCTCTTAGTATATAAATTTAAAGCAGATTTGGTGTTAACCAAAGATACTGTTATTGAATTGCCTACTCATCAATGTACCTTTCTGAAAATGTAATGGCCAGTAAGGTAGTTTTATTGTCAAATGACTTGGAAATGTCTAATTTATTGAGGAAAAAAGTTATTAGGCATGTTTTTTCTTATGTCTGTGCTTTAGGGTATGGGGCTTGGTAGAGAAATCCAGTGCAGTACCCTTTCTCCAATTATTACACTACATTCAAAGGCAAAATATTGAATCTTTTGAGAAGACAATTATGGGTACTTACAATTTTTCTGGAAAAGAAACAGTCCACAGGTTTTTCATGCCAAGAAAACCATTATGTGCTGAAGAGGGTGAGCACCGCCTTATCTGGGTCCACCCCGTGCCCTAATTAAATACCAGTGCACACCAGTGCTGGCAGAGACATTCTTCCTGAACCACTGTAATTACCACAGAGTTCTAAAATTGTGTAACATCGGTCCAAAAAACAAAGGGTGCAATTTTAAAGACAGTACAGTGAGATACTGAGACTGAGAATGCTAATTAATAGATTATAGTCAGCTAGCAGTGGGCCCCTAATTAAATAGTGCATTCATTATCTTCTTCGTAGCTCCCAGAGGTCAGACATCTTTCATTTGTGAAGAAGACTGGTTTATTAGACTTTATAGCAATTAAATACATTTCTGTATTTCAGTTTGAGGCTGGGGATTTTGGTCCATTTTAAATGTTTGATCTGATTGCGCTGGGTCCAGAATCTTAACAGTATAAAAACATATTTGCTTAGGAGTGCCTGCTGTGCCTAGTTGATTATTAATGGCATTTTCACAGAATCTTATTTCTGAAATAAAAATTATCAGATATTTTTATATCTTAGACTCCTTTTGTTGCTTTACTTTCAGATAGCTTGTGATTGGAGAGTTAGGAATGAGAGAGAGTGTGTGAGTGTGTGTCATGCGTGTTTTGATAGAGAAGTTCTTCTAAAAAATGATGACTAAGGAAGACTGTAGTGTAAACTTGATGGATAAGAATGAAATCTTCCTGTGAGCTTTATGCAATCACAGAACTAGTGAGAAGCTTTTGGATAAGTTACATTTTAGATGTTATTTTAGTTAGCTATTGCACTTCTTTTTTTTAAATAAAAGGTTGTTTATTTATGTATATGAGACTTTGTCTGTATGTAAGCCTGCACACCAGAAGAGGGTATTAGATCCCATTAGACATGGTTGTAAGCCACTGTGTTGCTGCTGGAATGGAACTAAGGACCTCTTGAAGAGTAGAACAGCCAGTGTTCTTAGCCACCAAGCTATCTCTGCAGCCCTTTGTACTACTTTCTTGATTATGCCTTGTAAGAGTTCGGTGTGTTGAATTTAGTTGGATGCTTATTTTAAAAACAGTTGCCGGGCGTTGGTGGTGCACGCCTTTAATCCCAGCACTCGGGAGGCAGAGGCAGGCGGATCTCTGTGAGTTCGAGACCAGCCTGGTGTACAAGAGCTAGTTCCAGGACAGCCTCCAAAGCCACAGAGAAACCCTGTCTAGAAAAACCAAAAAAAAAAAAAAAAAAAAAAAAAAAAAAAAAAAAAAAAAGTTAAAAATAGTTATTTGGTGGTAGAGGAGATGGCTCAGTTGGTAAAAGGCAAGTGTGAGGACCTGAGTTTGATCCCTGTATCCCATGTAACAACTGGACATGGTGATATGCACCTGTAATTCCAACACAGAAGGAGATGGGGGATCCCTACAGCTTGCTACCCAGCTAGTCTGGTGGCATCCACAGCTCCAGGTTTAAAGAGAGATGCAGTCTCAAAAAATTAAGGTGGAGAGTGATTCTGGAAGACATCTGACATCAAGTCTTAGCTTCTATACAAACTCATGGATATGTGCTTGCATACTTGCATACTCACCTACACACACACACACACACACACACACAGAGAGAGAGAGAGAGAGAGAGAGAGAGAGAGAGAGAGAGAGGAAAGAGAGAGATTATTTTAATGCTCTTTCACTGAAAGTTTGAACAGAATATTCTGTTTAATATTGTAGGATGGCAAGTGAAGTAAGTGCCTTTATTTTTTATGATTTTTGCTTAAATTGTGTGTGTGTGTGTGTGTGTGTGTGTGTGTGTGTGTGTGTGTGTGTGTGTGTGTGTCTGTGTGTCTGTGTGTGTGTGTCTGCCTGTCTAGATATGAATGTGCCATGGTGCATGTGTCAAAGGACAACTTTTTTTTTCCTGAGACAGGGTTTCTCTGTTTAACAGCCCTGGATGTCCTGGAACTCACTTTGTAGTCCAGGTTGGTCTTGAACTCACAGAGATCCACCTGCCTCTGCCTCCCGAGTACTGGGGTTAAAGGTGTATTCCACCACCACCTGGGCAGAGGACAATTTTTGGGAGCTGGTTTTCTTCTTTCCTGGTAGGTTCTGAGGAGCACACTCAGGATCTAGAGATAGATTCTTTGCCTGCTGAGCTATCTTGATAGCCCTAATGTTTTCTTTTCGCGTAGAATATTTATTATTTTTGGAGTTTGATGCTTCTTTTCTTCTGTTGAGGTACTGAGGATTGAATCCAAGGTCTTCTACATGATAAACAAGTGCTCTACCACTGAGCTATACCCCTAGCCTAGGATTTTAATTTTAATTTTATTTATTAGACCTTAGCATGCATGGAAATATGTAAATTATGAGACATTTCTTCTTGTACCTGGAGTGTAGCAGGATAATTGGGAAAAATAATTAAGTGATTCACATAAAGTTGCACAAATATCTGATATGGTTTAAGGATACTAAAGATATTATTTTCCAAAGAATTGGACTTTCTTTCTTTCTTTCTTTTTTTTTTTTTTTCAAGACAGAGTTTCTCTGTAGCTTTGGAGCCTATCCTGACACTTGCTCTGTAGACCAGGCTGGCCTCGAACTCACAGAGATCCGACTGCCTCTGCCTCCCGAGTTGTTGGGATTAAAGTCGTGTGCCATTGCCACCACCACCACCCAACTAAGAATTGGAGTTTCTTAGTCTGTTCTTTCTCCTCTTGAATTCCATGGTGTAATCTAGTGTGGGATTATTTTTAAAATTTAAAATTTAAGTTTTGTTCTTTGATTTTTCTGAGATTGGGCCTCTCTACGCTGGCTTTTGATTTTTCTACTGGGCATTGAGTGCCAGGGACTTGTTCTTACTGAATAAGTGCTGTACCACTGAGTTGCATTTTGCTAGTGGTTTCATTACAGTATTACAGAATTGTTTTTAAATATTGCTAATTTATCATAAATTTTCGAAACAGCAGCTTAAGTATGATTTGGAAGGCTCACTTTTTTATTTTCTTTTGGCAAAAAGAATCAGGAAATGCATTTTGTCTTTAGTCAGAGTAATCTTTATTTTTTTGTAGTACTCAGGATCAGGGTGCCAGCCTTAGCTATAGTAATCTCCTTCTGTCATGTGAATTCCAGGGACTAAATTCGAGTTATTGATCTGTAGTAGGAAAAATACAAACCCAGAGACAGATATTCGGGTTCAAGCTGAAGATTAGAAAAGCAAAGCAGCCAGCCACTAGAGAGTTCTTACCTCTACCAAGGCTGGAGCAATCCTGTCCTCAGCGTGGCTAGAGACTGAATGTTCTTCACCAAAAACCTCAGACTTCTGTCTCCTACACTGGTTCTCAGACTATTCAGCCCCTGTCTCCTCCTCCCTTATATTCCTTTCCTCTCCAGTGCTGTGATTAAAGGTGTGGGATCCCAAGTGGTGGGATCACCTTTGTGTGAGCTCTGTTTCTTTTTAGGACTGGATCAATGTTTTGTAGCTCAGTGTGTCCTTGACCAGAGATCTGTCTGCCTCTCTCCCGAGTGCTGGAATTGACTGGCCTCTACGGCTGTGGTTAACTTTGCACTCTGGTCTTCAGGCAAGTTTTATTTATTAGATCATAAACAAAATATCATCACATCTTTTTTTTTTAAGATTTCTTTATTTTGTGTGTATCTACATAGACACACACACACACACACACACACACACACACACACACACACC